GGGCGGGCGGGGTCGGTGCTGGCCTCGCGATCCGCGGCTCCCTCCGGCAGCAGCGGATCCACTTCCCGAACAAACAGCCGGAACTGACAGAAACACCTCCCTCCGCTCCCCCACCACCACCTCCTCCTCCTCCTCCTCCTCCTCAGCAGCCGCCGCCGGTGCCACCGCCTCCCTCCTTTCCGCCCCGCCCCTCCACTGCGCAGGCGCGACGTGTGGCTCCGCCTCTGCGCAGCCGCAGCCGGGGCGGCCGCGCCCTCGTCGCGCACGCGCACTGCGCACGCGCTCTGGTGGAGTCCCTGGCGGGCCCTGGCTAGTCTCCCCTCGGGTGTCCGGGGCCGGCGCGGCCGAACGGTTCGCAGTCCTGGGAGCCGGTGCCCTGCCCAGGCATGACGGAAAGAAGCCCCGGGGGCAGCGCCACGGACGTCCTCGCCCCCTCTTCGGCGGGGACGGGGCTCAGTCCGGGCGCCCGAGGCCCGGGACGCGGACTGGCCGGCGGCTGTGGAGGCGCGGGCTCCGCCCTTCGCCGGGCGAACGCCGCTTCAATGTCTGGTCCTGCCCCGGGTGGCAGGTGGCCGCAGAGTCCGGCTCCCCTGCCGGCCCGTAGCTACTAACACTGTGGCCTGGAGGTCGGCGCGGGCAAGGACAGCCTGGCCTGCAGACCCGTAGAGCCTGAGCTACGCCGCGGCGGAGCGGATGCACGCAGTTCCAGGTTCCCAGTCCGTCGTGGCCCAGTGTGTAACGCGCACCCTAGACGGCTGCAGCGGCCGCGCCTTCAGCTTCATTTCAGGGGTCTTCAGCACTCATCTCAAATCCTGTGGCCGAGGAGGCCTGGGTCTCCGGAAGTTCAGCAAGACCCACTTTAGAATCAGCCGTAGGTTTTTGCAGTTTACTTCCTTTTAGATAGTAAAGTGGACGCTGTCAACTGCCCTCTTCGCTGCAGAGCGCAGAGATCGTTCCACCCCATACCACAGCACCTCTTTTACTTTTTGAGACAGTATCTCTTATAGCTCAGGCTGGCCTTAAACTCACTGTGTGGCCGAAGATGTTACAACTCCTAATCCTCCTGCCTCTTACCGCCAGAGTCCTGGGATAACACGCACGCGCCAGCAGCCCCGGGCTCCGCACATGCTAGGCAAGCACTCTACATCCCCAGCCCTTTATCACTGTTGTAGGAACTCTCCATCCTTACAGTCTTTTCCAGTCAAGCACCTGTTGGATACTGCTGCTTTTTTTTTCCCCCCCTAGCAATTTCCTCCTTTTTCACTATAAAAAGCAGCGCTGGTTGTTTAAAAAAAATGTTCATTCAAGCCGGGGGTGGTGGCGCATGCCTTTAATCCCGGCACTCGGGAGGCAGAGGCAGGCGCATCTCTGTGAGTTCAAGGCCAGCCTGGTCTACATAGTGAGTTCCAAGACAGCTGGGGCTACAGGGAGACCGTGTCTAAAAAAGTTCATTCACTAACTGAAAAGTTCAAATTAATTTTTCCTTATGAACCACTACTCACTGTGACCTGTTAATAAGTTTCCTGGTTACCATGAAATTAATAGTTGAATGTATACATGCTTGCCCATGAATTTCCTGTGCATATTAAATACACATAGGTTCTTTGATCTTTATCATTTAAGTGCTGCACTGCATGGTACTCTGTCTGATGGTTGCATTATCCCTTAACCACTTGGCTGCTAACAGGGATTTGCACAGTTTGTTTGTTGTTGTTTACAGTGTTGCAGGCAGACTTAAGTGTTGAACTGTTTTTCCAGGAGCAGCAAAGCTTAGAATCTGGAGGTCCTGGCTGAGGAGAGAAGCTGCCACCTGTGCTTTTGACTGAAAACTGGGACTGAGAAGGTTAATGTCATCTCTTTAACCAGCAGTTTTAGGAAGCAGAAGAAAGAAGCTTAGGGTAGACATTGGGCAAGCACCCAACCTCACCAGCCCATGAAACAGTAGATTACAGGTTTATCACCTCCTCTGAAGGCAGGAAGATTTCTGCTTTCAATGCCAGCTTTGAAATCCTGAAATTCTCCCCTGAAAAGCTTTTGGATAAGTCATGTTACACTGTCTTGGAACCCCAGTTTCCTCACAGTAGACATAAGGATATGTTTGTAAGTGGCCTGGCTTGTGACAACAGTAATGTTAATCAGTCATCTTTCACTGACTCATTCATACTTAGCCATTGCCTATTATAGACATTCACACATTTCCAAGGCAGCCACCTGACGATCTGGCTGCAAGACACTCGGGATGGAAAGAAAACTGGCCACTAGAAATGCGAGATTCTTGATTTTGCTCAGATGCGTCATCTGGAACCTACTGGGCATTCATTACTCCATTTGTTCAGTAACTATTTAATGACTTCTTACTATTTATTATGCTCATGATTGTACAGAACATGAAACCTTTTCCCTCCAAGAATTTAGACTCCACAGAGTTCAGACATATTCATGAAGAATTAAAAATACAGTAGATAGAAGAGTCTATCTGAAGTCTGTCTAGACTTCAGAGAAGAAAAGCTGCTGATGGGAGAATAATGGGGGAAAGATTTCATCGTAAAGATTTCATGATGACACCAGAATAGAAGAGGCTCTGAGGATTCCCTAAGGCCAGGATACGTGTCCTCATCCTCAAAAGAATCTCTGAGCAGGTTCTACTGAAACACTGTTTCACATCTACTTAACTGCAGTCGATGAAGTACTGTCTCTCTTCCCATATATGTTATTGGGGTCCTGCCTTATGCCTGGTGCTGAGCTGGGGATTCAGCAGTACCAAGTGACCATCTGACCTGGTGCATATTCCCAGGAATTGGAAACTTTGCTTCACTTGTCCTCAACAGCCAGCTTCCAAAGGAGTTTTTGCAATGTCTCCTTTTTGTGCATTAGAAGCTACAATAGGAAACACTGGAAGTTTCCAAGTAGAGAAGCAGTATTAGAATGTTCCTTTAGCGGACAGTGCACAAACATCATGCATACAGGATAGAGCTGAGCTGCAGAGTTGTAAAGGTTGTTGCATTCATTAAATGTTTCTGCTTACTGGATGTACACAGAAGCAAAACACCTTCATGGTCATTCTTTCAGCTGCCATTGGGATCCTGCTTTATGCCTGCACTGGTCTAGCAGCTGGGGATTCAGCAGCAAGCAACATTCAAATGGCTCTGCTTTCAGGGAACTTTCATTCTAGGGAGTAGGGACCACAGCTACATCAGAGAAGAGAAGTGCAGTGGAGTAGGGGGCTGGAAGCATACAAGGTGTTACAGGATCAGACTGATGTGGCAGGCTCACCTCCATTCAAGTTTGTCATTGAGTAAAAAGAGAAGTAGGATGAACAGGAGGCAAGCTGGGAGAGCTGAAGCAAATATTTTTCAGGAGAGAGAGAAAATTAGCAGCCAATGAGTGGAAGGAAGTGACTATTTGGGGAGATGGGCTAAGGGCTCTTCAGAGATCCAGGAGGAATTGGGTAGTGAGGCTAAGAGATAAAGAAGAGGGGCCTCAAGCTGAGGCCTCAAATAGAGGGAGAGCACCCTCAAAGGCAGCAGTGGTAGAGATAGGTCAGCACAGAAGAGGCCTGAAGGACCTGGGACATCCAGGTTACAAACAGGTCAGCAACATGGGTAGGTGCTAGAGCCACAAGATGCAGTCATGCAAGAAGGCAGAAGTGAACAGTAATGCCATTCAGAGAAAGATCATAGGGACCTTACATGCCAGGCAGGGCACCAGTCAATATGCTGGTCCAAGAGAGAAGAAATCAAGGAAATTGCATCTGGTGGTTTAATGGCGATGGAAATTGGCCTCTCATAACTGCAAGCCTGATGCCAATTCTAGAGACTTGCTCTGCCCTGCCAAGGCCCACATAAACCAAGTGAACAGAAATTCTGTGACTTCATGGACCATGGCTTCTTGTTTTAGTATCCTCTGGAGAGTTAGGCAATTGGTACTGTACTTAGTACCTGTTGAATTGAAGCAAAACCAGAAGCTGGGCATGATACACCTGCAATCCCAGCACACAGGAGGCTGAGGGCAGAAAGACTGAAAGTTTGAAGCCAGCATGGGCTACCCATTCAGATCACCTCTCAAAATATCAAAGAGGGCTGGGGATGTAGTGCTTGCCTAGCATGCATAAAGCCTTGTGTTCAATCCCAGCACCACATAAAACCAAGCATAGTGGCACATATCCGTAATCCCAGCATTTAGCAGGTAGAGGTGGGTGGATCTCTGTGAGTTCAAGGCCAGCATGGTCTACATAGTCAGCTGGGGCTACAGGGAGACCGTGTCTTAAAAAAAAAAAGTCATTCTAAACTACATAGTTCCCAGACCATCCTGGAATACACAAATCCCTGTCAAAGACAGAAA